GTAGCACTAAGTAGTACAAGAAAGGACCTAAATGATGAAATAAAACAGATAGAAGAAGCGTTGGTGCCAAATAACTAACTATCCTATAAAATTCATTAGGAAGATCAGTTAGGGCCAAAAGCAAAATAAAAATAATTGTGAAACTAGTAATGATAACATAAAAAAGAGAGAATATAAGGCATCTACAGCAGTGATACCACATAAGGAGAGAGGAGACATCTGAGACTCTCCCTATGTAGGATTCCGAATAAAGCAGGAATTAGGCTGGTGGTGGCACTTAAACCTTAAAAACTCACTCAGGTAGGACAAGCTCGGTAGGTTAAGTTAAATGACCCTGTCGATTGACCCAATTAAACAAAATAATATAATTCACAAAATACTCTGCAACGACTGTGGGTTAGGTCAACTACATAGTTCAAACTAGTAGGTCAGAGGTTGATTACTGAATCTTACCTGGTTCATTGAGTCTGCACCCAACACATGCAATAGGAATGACTCATCACTCATACCGGAAATATGGAAAATACCACCACAACTACCAATCAAATCAAGCGATGAAAAATAATGATGGAATTATATAAATGAAGTTAGAGAGTTGTGTGAGTAGTACCCTGATATGATTACGAGCAATAAATTGTTCTTGAAACGTGGTCATCAGTAAATTTACTGTAGTATAACAACACTGTGGGGCTTTATCGAAACAAAGTTTACCCATAATGGAATCACACTCTACCAGTACAGTGCACAAGTTTTATTCTTATATCAATTGTTATACCTCAATCAGGATTGTGCAAAAAAGGAAAGAAAGCCAACCAAAAAATGAAGAAATATCGGGATGAAAGACAAAGAGGAATTTATGGAGAAAAAATACACAAAAAACAGCCATAAAGTATAGTTGAGTTTAAAACAAGGTGACATCTGAGCAACACAAATATATGTGAGTGATAAACAAACTCAGCCTATTTTATTGAGATTCTAAGGAAAATGCAAAGAGGTGATTCATTGTGAGGACAGTTGCTTTCCTCTCTCACACACACACACACAACAGATAACGCCAATTTACAACAAATGGTTTCTTTAATACTGAGAAATCTTAAACCGAATGCATGCTGTCAACTTAAACTGCAGATGAATTCAAGAATACCCGCGTCTTATTGTACTTCTTTTGTTCCAATTAATCAATAAAATTACGACTTTGAATTATACAAGGATATGAAAATTGAGTGAATTAAAGACTCTTTTGGAATTAATTACTATTATTATTGTGTATCTAATTTTACTGGTCTGTAATTGACTAATGAAGAACACCAGATGTGCCGGGTAACACAATGTTTAAAAATGAGTGAAAGTAAAAATACTAGTTTTTTTTTTAAATAATATCGATTTGTAAAGTAAGATCACAATGGAATCACCACAGTTCATTAAAGATGCTTAAATAATAATAATAATAATAATAATAATAAAGATATAGTAGCAAATAGAATATCAACTAAAATTAGGAAAATTCCACAAAAATTCAGGATCGATCATTCAAACCTAGATGGCCAAGCGGGTAAGGATAATGTCTGAACCAACCAACTTCTTCTTTTGGATGCACAAATTAGGCTTGTTAATATGGATCCCAACAGCCAGCCAGCCAGCCTCAGCAATATTTAGTAGTCGAACTGTTAAGGCGAAATTGAGATTTGTTGTTGGTATGCGCTAAATGACCGTGAAAGCCACCTGGTTAACATCAATCAGTCTTGTGTTGTGTATCCACAAGAAGATGAGTGAGATAGAATAGCTCTGCGCTGAGAATAGATTTTGTTTGTCCTTTACTTAACCAACCAACCACTGTGGAGGGTGGGTGATGTTCGGAAATTCGACGAGAAACACGCCTAATTGTGTACGGCCTATGCAAGTAACTGGCTCACTCCACACGGGAGCAGTTAAATTGGTAGATACACACACATGGAAGAGGCGAAATTAGGCAGTTTGTCTTTTACTCCCGAACGAATGCAAGAGAGGAGTGGTTTTGAAGACACAGTGTAAATCGGCAGCAGCACGGAATACTCTTTTTACCGCCTCATTTCTAAGACACAGCTGTGTTAGTATCTCGCTGATGTTGTCCCCAAGCAACTGACTGCATTTGTAAGAATAAGGCCTTCCTTTTTACGAACTGCTGGTACCTTGGGCTGCTTTGATTTTAGAATCATATTCTTAGCAATAAACGTTTCTGGATAACCATTTTCACTCATCAACCGTTTAATACTAATAAGTTCCTCATCAAGACACTCATCCGAGCAGATTGCTCTTGCTCTGTGGTGGACCAAGCACTTTATCAGATTGCGTTTGTATTTTAAGGGCACGAAGCTGAAAAAATGAGTATACTGACTCGTTGATGTAGGTTTTCTATATACATTTCTTCTTATTATTGTGCCATCCTCTTTTCTAGTCATAAGGACTTCCAGAAATGAAATACTAGAGTCTTTTTCTTTCTCTCTGGTAAATTTATTGCAGGATGAACCTCATTAAATTCATCCAGGATGTTCTTTGCTTCCTCCTTCTCATTTTTCATAATCAAAAATGTATCATCCATGTATGTACCGACAATAGAATTCGAGTTCATTAATAACATCCTTCAAATGCCCATTTTCTAGTTTCTCCAGGAAAATGTCGGTTAGAATGGTGGTCCTAGTAGTGACCCCATTGCCACACCGTCGATTTGTCTATATAGTTCATTATTAAATAAAATGTGGACATTGTGCATTGTGCATTTCAAGAGAAGCTCTTTCACAAAAGATATAGGAATGCCATTATCGATGTTTTGTCTTATAAGTTCTTCGCATACAAAGTTCACTGTTTCCATAAGTGAGTGGTACATTGGTGAATAAGGAAGATACGCCAACAAATGATAGCATGAATTTATTGTCAATATTTAAATCTTTTATCCTTTCAACAAATCCAAAAGTATCCTTTACACTGTGTTTCGCAGTTTTCTCAGTTTCTCTAGTTTGCGAAACAATCCATCTTTTACTTAGTCAAGATCCTTGTACAAGATTTGACTTAATACACATCACATTCTTGTCAGTAGAATAGGTCACACATTAGTACTGAACGATAACCGTGATACGTTTTGAATGATTTACCTTCCATGGAATTTAAACTAGGCTGTTCAATTGTCTAGTAGAGTGCTGAGTTGTGCGTCGGTGGCATAGCGGTTAGGACTCTCGCCAACCATGCACATGATCCGGGGTTCGATCCCCGTCCATTGAGGCACTCCTTTACCTCGCTAAGTCAGAAATAATGCTGGTGAAGAGGAAAGGTTGGGCATGAGGCTAGCAACCCCATCCTGTAAAATGAACACTGCTACAGAAACTTCAAGCCACTAGCTCGAAGCCCTATGTCCTACTGGGGAACGTGAAGGAAAAAAAAAGGAGTGTTGGGATACCTCTTAAATCTTATTTTCCCTATCAAAATTCTCACTATATATTTAGGATACAATTCACTTTCGTAGAATGCTAGGCAATGCTACGAACTTGCTTTACGTCAAGTTTTAATTTTTAGAATAGACAATTGTAAATATTCGAGTCTCCTGGTCACTTCGCTATTCCAGGAATACACAAGAAACCTAATAGGCTGATTATTGAGTAATTTTTAACTTGGGTTGGTCTAAAATTTCCCGGAATTCACTATCATTTGGTACCAGGTTAGATATCTGAATGATCCTCAAATGCTGTGTGTATAGAGTAGGAGTTCGTTCTGTTTTAATTTGCAAATATGAGATGTGGCTACTGTGGAGTGAGAGCCAGTTACTTGCATAGGCCGTACACAATTAGGCGTGTTTCTCGTCGAATTTCCGAACATCACCCACCCTCCACAGTGGTTGGTTGGTTAAGTAAAGGACAAAAAAAATCTATTCACAACGCAAAGCTCTATCTCACTCATCTTGTGGATACAGAACACAAGACTGATTGATGTTAACAAGGCGGCGGCTTTCAGGGTCATTTACCGCATACCAACTAACAAATCTCAATTTCGCCTTAACAGTTCGACTACTAAATATTGCTGAGGCTGGCTGGCTGGCTGTTGGGATCCATATTAACAAGCCTAATTTGTGCATCCAAAAGAAGAAGTTGGTTGGTTCAGACATTATCCTTACCTGCTTGGCCATCTAGGTTTGAATGATCGATCCTGAATTTATCTGTGGAATTTTCCCTCATTTTAGTTGATATTCTATTTGCTACTATATCTTTATTTTTGTTATAATTATTATTGTAATTTAAGCATCTTTAATGAACTGTGGTGATTCCATTGTGATCTTACTTTACAAATCGATATTACTATTTAAAAAGCACACACTAATATTGTTATTGACTACTAATCTAGAATATTCTATGTATATAAACATGCATATATAGATATAATTGTAGAGCGAGAAGAGGAGGAATTTATCGAAAGGGATATTCTTTTCTGGCTCAATCATTTCGTGTTTTATAGATAGGTGAATGAATATTTTTGCTACATTGTGTCGTTATTATTACTTTCACCTTTCAAAGAACTCGTAGTTGAATATGCAAATATTCTTTAGAAGTACAATCGAAATTACATGCGCAGATATCATCGTTGAAGCACCTGCACAAGAAGCCAACAGACATGCCAACCTGAGACTGAGGAGCACTTCGGTCCAATCAATCAATCGACGGGAAAATCTAAAAGTCAATTGAATTAACATGACCCGTTGCACAAGAAATGTGGTGGCTCTCGTGGCCCAAATGGTCTAGTGGATAACGCTTTGGCTGGTGTTTGAAACTATGGTCACTGCGTTTGAGCCTCGGAACATCATTATTGACTCACTGGGAGAATGCAGATAAACCCAGTTAGCTGAAGAGTCCTAGATAGGACGAAATGCGCCTTATTATGGACTGGATTCCATTACTGCTAGTCACCATCCACCAATTAAAATACAGAAACATTGAAAAAAAGGAGAAGAAATTAATCAAAGAATAAACTTAACTCACCACATGGCTACGATATGTCTCCAAGTACTGTTCATTGTAGGAACAAGAGCATTTGTGAATGAGACCGTTTTCGGTACCAACTAGGTAACTTTGAATAAAAAAAGAAATGTTTTATCAATTAGTTTGACAGCTTTTCAGGTTTACTCAATAATCAAAAGCTTTTAATACCATAAATAAGCGTGAGTAGACATTTGTTAAAAAATTATTTTATTTGTAAAGTCTCAGCGAGATTGAAATGAGTAATTCCAACGTTTCCTGCGTTCGTCGCAATCTGGTCCGAATTTCTTCAGGGAAATTAATCGAAATTAACATAACAGAGGTTTATATATAAAAAGAACATCACTTGTTTTTAAAAACTTTGTCCAATCATGAGTCATTCAACAAGTATAAAATAAACAAAATTTTATGAGCTGTGGTCAAAATGTGACCTCGGACTTACAAATATTGGCCTACCTTTGTTGAACACTTTAAACAGAGTGTGTATGTGTGTGTGGGTGATAAACAGTTGTAAAACATTTCTTAACGTCTCCATAAGAAGATATGGACAGTCGAGAATTTGACCAAGTATTATTAATTAGTGATACATATCCATTTTTATTTATTAATCAGGATTTCCTATGCATCAGCTAACACACAGCACACCACACCTTCATGTCTGTTCAAACTGTTAGTATATCTAGAATTTTATGATTAGACGTATATTTTCAAAATTATGGTGTTTAAGATTAGAGTTTAGTTGAAGCACCCTGTCGAACTTATTGCTTTGTCTTCTTCTTTCTGAAGATTGAGCTGCTTTATTCGACCTACTGGAGAGTTGTCAGGTGACTCGACAGCTACGGATTTAGGATATGCATTATTCTGTTGCAGACAATGGAGAGTGAAAACACGATGATTGTGCCAGTTACACAGTTCCTTTGTTAATTTAATTCGATTGCAAAATAATTCAAATGAACTGTCGTCAAGATTTGACAGAATAGTTCTAAAATATTTGAGCGCCGAGTGAGAAGTAGACATTTGTAAAAAATTATTATATATATATATATTATATTAAACATATATATATTTGTTTATTATACTTGTTGAATGACTCATGATTGGACAAAGTTTTTAAAAACAAGTGATGTTCTTTTTATATATAAACCTCTGTTATGTTAATTTCGATTAATTTCCCTGAAGAAGTTCGGACCAGATTGCCGAACACAGGAAACGTTGGAATTACTCATTTCAATCTCACTGAGATTTTACACAGATATAATTTTTTACAAATATCTACTTCTCACTCGGCGCCCAAATATTTTAGAACTATTCTGTCAAATCTTGACCGCAGAAAGTTCATTTGAATAACACATAGTGTTGAGTTTCAGTAAACCTGCCTTCCCACTTTTCCACTCTCAGTTTATTTTTCTAAAATTCATCCTAGGAACAGATAGTTTTATGATTGCATGGAGGATTTCATCATGAGCTGATATCAGTTAGAAAAACCAATGGAAAATATGCAGCGACTAAAGGACGGAGACCTGTTTAGTCAGCCTAGTTTGGGATTCTTCAGCAGTACGAAGCAAAGGACACATGAAGAAAAAACAAACATCTGGATAAAATTCCAGCTTGCTCGTAGATCATTAGGCAACTGGGAACCGATAGGACGGCCCTATTCAGGGAGTTGACCTGGTGTAGTGATGAGAAGACGTGACCAGTAGGGTACAGTAGGTTGAAGATGAGGCAGTAACTCACTCATCGAAGAAGACATTTTGAAATGGTCGCGCTACGTTTTGGGTGAATTGGCAGAAGTTAGAATTCACGCACTGGCTGACTGGCCATTGGATCGGCTCCCAGTGGCTGATCAATGGTCTACGAGCTCGCTCGCTCGCTGGCCTTGTAACCAGAACATGGTCCTGGGTTCGAACCCTGTCAGTGGGGTGGTTGTGTACTGCTAGATAGTCCTAAACTAGGTTGATGAAACATCTGGCTGTCCACTACTCCCAGCCTGCTTTTCCAATGCTTCTTTAACTGATGTCAGCTGGTCATGATGAAATCCTCCGTCCAATCAAAAGTCAAGATATCGTTAGTCATCAGCTAGATAGCTTAATAGTGAGTGAATCAAGTCTTTGTGGATTCACGGAATATCTTTCAAAATAGCATCTATTCGACTAAGCAATGATGTTAGCATTGCATATACGTTTTACTGTTTGTGTACAACTGTACAACAAGCTTAAGTCAAATAGGCGATTCTTTCAATGAACTTTTAACAGACAGGAAGTAAGCAAACATACTGCTCCAAAATATCATGTCACATTGTGAATGAAGGAATGAATGAATGAACTAGTGTTATGAACAACAACATTAATGTTGCTGTTTAAATAACATCGAATCAATAAAAGTGATAACAATACCAATGGATTACAGTTCTATAGCATCAACATAACAACACACACTGAATGTCAGACAGAGAAATTAGGAGCGATAATATTACAAGTTCATGAATTTATAGTCTGTACTGAAGGCGTTATCAGTAAGTTCTCATTTTATTGCCGGTATGTTGATGATACCTTCACTCTTTGTGATAATGATTTGGATAGGAATACAATAATTACTGAATTCAATGAAATACATTCGGCTATGAAATTCACATGCAAAGAGCAATCCCAAAACAGAATTAACCGCCTTCCTGGATGTCCTCCTTACAAGAAAACCACATGGTAGCATAAAATAAACTTGCATCGGCAAAAGTACTTGGACAGGACAATATACACACATTTTCACAGCTTCGTTCTTCTCAAGTACAAAAGAAATTTAGTAAAGACCCTCACTCAGCCACAGAGCTAGAGCTATATGCTCAGAAGAAGTAATTGAAGATGAATTAAGACATTGTATATGATACTTTGATTGATCGAAAATAGCTATCCCGACAAATTTATCAAGAAACACATGACATAGAAAGCGGCGGAAAAGGACTACTCAATCTCCATCCGTAAACAAGAAGCCACTTTATATACGACTGCAATTCAAGGGCGATCGATATACCAAGTGAGATAATAACGAAGAAATTAAGAAAATCATTTCAAAGAACTTTCACTGCTGGCGAACTACACGTCTAATTCTCTACACGACCGATGGTGCTACCTCGACTGAAAGATGAAGTACCTAGACTAGCTGGCCACTTTAAATTGTATCTACCAATTCAACTGCAACTGTGTTTGTGATTGAGCGAGTTATATTGGCCGTTGTTGCTCTACAAACTTGATTTTTCGTACTCACTCGAGAACATCTCCCACTATGGCTAGGCGAAGGTGTAGTGAAAATCATTAACAGTTCGATATTGGACCATCTAGTGCAAACCGTCCGGCCACAAAGCCCGCCAGCCAACCTCGAAGAATCCTTCTCCACAATCATCTACCAGGTGCCTAATAAATTGACAAAATCATCATCATCGAAGCACCGAATGCTCCAAACACCAGATGCTATTGCAATTCGCCTCAAACAACCAATGAGTGCTCTGTGTGTGTGGAGAAGAAGCAAGTCCAGCCAGCTGCCCCCTACTACTGCCCTGACCGGCCTTCAGTGAGTGGAGACTATAAATTCATGAATTTGTAATGTTATCTTTCATAATTCAACTGACATTCAGTGTGTATTGTTATGTTGATGCTATTGAACTGTAATCCACTGGTATTATTATTATTGATTCGATGTTATTTAAACAGCAACATTCATGTTGTTGTTCATAACACTAATTTATTCTTTCATTCATTCACTATAATGGATGGATACATAACTGTAGAGCCTGATGATGATGATGAAGGGGTTATCGAAAAGAGTATTTATTATATTCTTTGTTCACTATCTATCCATTCTTTTGAAAATTAAAATGTGTGCTAATTATTCAATTAATATATTTTGTATGTGTGTGTGTTTTCACTTACATGCTTGGCTCACGCTTATTGAAAGCCATACTTGTTGCAATGGCTGTTCTTGATATTAAAGCATCGTTACGTTTAGCAGTAGTCATTGGATTTGAACTATTTGCATACGCTCGTTTGAGAACCATTAGATCTAGAGAGAGAGAACAATGTGAAGTATTTAACTTCTTACAGATTCAATTGTGAAGGTAATATATTATATAAAAAAAAGGATAGGTGAAAAAGACCAGTAATCTTTGACTCCAATTTTACGGTTTTCGATCGAATTCACAATTTTTACTAATTAAATTCATGATTTCAAGGTTGTTCCAGTGCCTAAATCAACAAGTGGACCTACTGTTAAGTATCGACCAATTTCTATTACCTCACCTTTTTTAAAAGTTATGGAAAGACTTATTTTACTTAATCTTGAACCTTCTTTAAAGCCTTTTAATGACCCCAACCAGTTTGCTTATAAACATAGTAGGTGTACCTTAGATGCCACTGTTGTTCTATATCATAATATAGTCTCTAGTTTAGATAGAGGAGCCAAATATGTTCGGTGTGCCTTCCTTGATTACACATCTGCATTTGACTCTGTACCTAGGTCTCTCTTCCTAAGTAAGCTTGCTGCAACACAGAGTGAGAGCTGGACAAATAAGTGGTTGTATTCCTACTTTTCTGATAGGAAGCAGTACACTGTCTACAATGGAAAGTCCTCCACTACCTCACTTACTTGAGCTGGTGTTCCTCAAGGTGCTGTTCTTTCTCCTTTTCTGTTTTCTTTTTTCTTACATGACTTGCCCCATTCTGATGTAGCCACTTTTGTCAAGTATGCTGATGAACTCTCTGTCTCCATGCCTGTGAACTCTCAGTTAGACTGTTCCAAATTAAATAACTTTCTGTCGGAAATTAGTCAGTGGTCCTCTTCAAACGGTCTTAAGCTAAATCCGTCTAAATTTCAGGTAGTCAATTTCACTTTCAGAAGAAAACGTGACCTACAACAACTAGCTACCTCACGTGGTCCCACTATCATTGACGGCATAGAGGTTGAAACTACATCTAATGTCAAGTACCTTGGACTGAGTATTTCCTCCGATCTTTCCTGGTCCTCTCACATCTTGCTAGTTACTAGAAAGATGTTTCGATTAACGTTCTACGTTAGGAAGTTAAGGCAGTCTGGTATAAAGCAGTCTTTGCTTTCTCAGTTTGTCAAGTCTTGTATTCTAACCATCCCTCTTTACTGCTCCCCATTAATCTTCCCTGGACTACTTAAGAAAGACTTTGCTTCGCTGCATAGGGCACTAAAAGCTGTTAGTAGGGGAAGTGGGATATCGTTAAACCAATTGGTTAACACTATTGTGGATAGACATATAATGTCATGTAAGAAACTAGCGAATTCTATATTGTCAGACCCCGAACACCCTCTCCATACGCAGCTCTCTCCTTGCATTTCATCTGGTAGAACTAGAAGCAACCATAGGTGGCTATATGCCAGGACTACCAAGTATAAAAACTCCACAATACCTTATCTGGCACAGCTGTTATGTGATGAGAAATCCGTTAGGTATGACACGATCAACTTACTGCGGCACTCTAACAAATAGTTCCCATTAGCTTTTGTTCTCCTTTCTTTGTTACTATTATATTGTTGCTCACATATTCTATTACACACTAATTTTATATTTCATACCCTGTGGTGCATTGTTTAAAATTGTAAACGCAACGTTGTTCTTTTTTATTTCTTTTATTTATCTTTTTTTCTTTTTGTTGTTGTTCTTTTTTATTTGTAAAATCTTATAAAAATTTATGAGGTAATTAGATGCGATGTTGTAATGCACGCTGAAAATTCCACACCTGTACCACAAATACTGTTTGGAATAAAGCTTTTATTATTATTATTATCATTATTATTATTATTTACAATTTGCAGATGTCGAGGTGAAATCAGGAATATTCAGATCTGTTTGAGATCTCATAAGTGTAGTGTGGCAGTCAAGATTAGTTAAACACCGCTGACATCAGCCAATTGTGCTTGCTAGCCAGATAATGCAATCATGATGCTATTTCACTTATTTCTTCGTGAACACTATCCAGCCTGCCTAGCAAATGGAGAACGAAAACGTGTGTACACTGTTCAGTGAAAGAATATCTGGTCAATTCAGGACATTCAGCGACATTTGAAAAATCCTTCAAAATAATAATATACAAGATTCGATCAAACCTATCAAAGGGAGTGAAATTAAGATATCTGGGCGTAGCCGAGGCTCTAGGCATCCAAAAACTCAAACACACGCTATTCGTCTAAAAGAAATACGTTCAACACTTGTCCCTTCCTGCCAAGGCCATCATAAACAGGTAATTCTTTTAATAGTTACCATCCCATTGACTTTCTTATACAAACTTCCTGTTTATTTTGTCATTATACTAATTCTACATATTTAATCCCCAACTGCATAAACAATTATTCGTCACATTAGTTATCATCCCACTAGATTTTGTTATCCAAACATCCTGTCTATCTATCTTTTTTGTTATTTCTACATTTCTAACCCCAAACTGCACCATCAATGTCAATTTTCACAGTAATTATGATGCCACATTGTCTGAGCTTTATCCGTCCAACCACCCTGTTTATTATGGCATTTTAGTTCCTAATTGTAATTTTATTAATTTGACCCTTGACCGGAAATTATTCTGGAACTTTCCTACCCATTTATTATAAATACACAAATGTTCAGCTGTCTAGTTGATGACATCGTCGTAAAGAAAGTTATCTTCGCAGCAACTGTCTTCTTAATAATTCCTATGATCCAATATTTATACATACATATCAATAGTGTCGGTTTCCAAATGAAAGTGTGGTGATCCAGCACCTAGAGGTGTGCAATTCCCGCAAGACTAATTCGATTCTAGTTCGTTCAAGTAAGTAGACAGGTTTAAACGTATTCGGCTTTCTGAGATAAGCTAAACCAGTTACACTACTGATGAGTTTGGTCTCAAACTGGCGAGATGACTAACTGGCGAGATGTCTAGATCACTTTGATCTCGCTAGGAATCACTGCTGTTTGAAGTGAATGGTTTCCAGCTGCTGATATCAGTCGGACAACAATGAATGGCTATTTTAAATTTCAATATAAGGAAATCACGGAATATACATATTGGATCATAGGAATTATTAAAAAGACAGTTGCTGCGAAGAAAATTTTCTTTTCGACGAAGTCATTAACTAGACAGCTGCACATTCGTGTATTTATAATAGATGGGCAGGAAATTTCCAGAATAGCTTCTGGTCAAGGGTCAGATTAATACAATTACAGTCATTACAGGAATTAAAATGCCATAATAAACAGGGCGGTGGGACGAATAAAGCTCAGAAAAAGTAGCATCATGATTATTACTGAGAAGATTGACAATGATTGTGCAATTAGGGGTTAGAAATGTAGAAATAACAACAATAGATAGACAGGATGTTTGGATAACGAAATCTAGTGGGATCGTAAATAATATGACGAATAATTGTTTATGCAGTTGGGGATTAAATGTGTAGAAATAATAAAATGACAAAATAGCCAGGTAGTTTGGATATGAAAATATGGTAGTGTAAATAGTGTAGGGATTAAGAAAAACTTAAAATAACATGAATAAACAGGAAGTTTAGATAAGAAAGTCAATGGGATAGTCACTATTAGAAGATGATGGCCATGGCAGGGAGGGACAGGGGTTGAACGTATTTCTTTAGGATACATAACGTGTGTTTGGGCTTTTGGATAGCTAGTGCCTCGGCTATGCCCAGATGTCTTAATTTCACTCCCTTTGATAGGTTTGATCGAATCTTGTATATTATTATTTTGAAGGATTTTTCGAATGACCACATGACTAACGTCATATTAGGTGGAAAGCATAGTTATTAAATAGTCTCGGAATCCAATATGTGTGTAAAACTTGGGCATTGTCAGGGTAGTAAATAATTTCATATTAGTTTGTTTATTAGATGCATCACACAGTCAGTGAAACAGTATTAGTATTCACTGGATGACAAAGTTGTTTCGAACACAATTCATCATTATTGCTGTTCATAATCATACACATCACCAATTATAATCACACGACTTCGAAACTTGAGTTTTATAGTTTTCTTTATCCTCTTCTATTTGTCGTCGTTGGGGTAGTAGAATTTTCCAGATATCCGGGTGGACAGGTGTTGAATCATTCCTATTACACGTGTTGATTCGCAGTTGATTCGAAAGACAAATCTTCCACCGTCAATCTTCCCCATTCGCCACCCTGTTAGTTGTATTAGATTTCAAAACTGTCATCTTATCCCATACAGCCTATTGTATGTTTGGGTGTGTGTAATTGCATGTAGTGCTTGCGATAGCTGCTGAACTGTTCTTTAGATTTCTTATCATATTCGGGTCAACTAATCTAGATTTTGCTGCTAGGTGTTTATGCTGCTCGGCTAGTCTGACTCACTGACTGCCCCTGTTCTACTACTTTGACCTGTGTATTTGACCTGACAATCATCGCAGCAGCAGGGTATTAGATAAACTAAATTGTTTTGTTTCAAAGGCTCCATAGGATTGATCCTTTAACCGACAAAGCATGTTTCTAATTGAGTTTGTGGGGAGGGGTTGAATGCCAGCAGCCACTTTTATTCGTGTCTGCCTTGTTAAGAATTCTCCGTTATAAGGTGATTACCGAGGTTTCTTTCTTATATGGCTGTACCACTGATGATTAAGATTCCTTATTGTTGGTGTTGTCATCATTTAATGTAACAAGAAGCTTCGTTTATCGAATCAACTGCAAATAATACACACACGCACACACACAGCTGTCAGTCAGTTTGAACATAAATATGTGGTTTGAACGGCTGAATACTGTCTGACGTGAATATCTAAGTAGCTGCCAGTAGAGTTCAACCATATTTTCTTTTGTCGTCCAGAAATTGACAACACACTGGAACTAAGGTGAAGTGTAACTACCGTGTTCAGCCCAGGTGTAATTATAACTAACCAAAAGTGAAATTTCAAATATAACACTAAACTGTCAAACTGAAAACACTCAAACAACAGTCATGATCTTTCTTACCACTGTGATAATCACAATCGCCTGCATCAAAAATACAATACAAATAACTGTTATTATTATTAT